TGTGTGTGTGTGTGTGTGTGTGTGTGTGTGTGTGTGTGATGGTTTATGACATTCAGTAATGGAAATGGCATCCTTAGCTCACGGCTGTACTAAATCAGGCACTGGCTGGCTGACTGGGTGCGTGATCCAGGGCACAGAGGTGTCTGGACAGTTGGTGGGGGCGGGAGGGGTGGTTAGAGAGTGTGTGCCTCTCTGGATCTTCCTTAGCGCCTTCCTTAGGAAAAAGAGAGTCTGGCGGGATGGTGTAGACGGCGTGAGACACAGTGCTAGGTTTCTCCAAGGACAGGTGCAGGCTTGCTCACAGTTCCTAGTCAGAGACCCAGTGTAGCTTTGAGGGTTTCAAACGCTGTGGGTGGGTGAGTGCTTATGTGTGGGTGGCCATGATGAAAGAGAAGGTGGGCTGTGGGCACGTGCGTCCTGGGGCCTGTGACGAGTGTGCTGGATGTCGCACAGGACGAGCAAAAGGCGGAAGATGAGCTTGCCAAGAAGCGGGCGGCCTTCCTTTTGAAACAGCAGCGCAAGGCCGAGGAGGCCCGAGTGCGCAAACAGCAGCTGGAGGCCGAGGTCGAGCTCAAGCGAGACGAAGCCCGGTAAGCTGCGCTGGGGTGACCGGGCAGGGAGCAGGTGTCCTGCCTCAGGTCTCTGCTGCAGGGCCCGCGCACGACCTCCCTGTGAGGTGCATGCAGCCTGGGGTGGGCAGCTGCCAGGGTTATTGGAGCGGCTCTTCCTGTTTGTCAGGCGCAAAGCCGAGGAGGACCGGATCCGGAAGGAGGAGGAGAAGGTGCGGCGTGAACTCATCAAGCAAGAGTACCTGCGCAGAAAACAGCAGCAGGTCCTGGAGGAGCAGGGCCTCGGGAAGCTGAAGCCCAAGCCCAAGAAGCCACGACCCAAGTCCGTGCACCGGGAGGAGTCGGGCAGCGACGCGGGCACCAAGTGCTCCTCCACACGTAGGCCGCCTGGCTGTGCCGCTCCCCTGTGGCCTCTGTGTGGCTGTGTTCGAGGGGCCGATGCTCACAGGTGCCCTCTCTGTCTTGTCTTGGCAGCTGACAATTTGAGCAGAGCCCAGTCTGGATCCAGTCTGTCGTTGGCATCTGCAGCGACCACAGAAGCGGAGAGTGTCCACTCAGGGGGCACACCCTCCCAGCGGTGAGTCAGGACAGCCAGGGTTGGGTATGGGGACAGCTCTGTGCAGCTTCTGAGTTCTCCTCTGGAATCACACAGACCGCCTGGAGTCCTATCTGAGCAGTGAGGTCCCTGCCCTTGGTCACTCCTCTGTCTTCGCCGTGCCCTTCCTAAGTGGCTTCCCTGGTCTCGGAACCCACTCAGTGCCACACTGCCTTGGGGTGCTGTGCTCCTTCAGGCTCCTTTAATGTGGAACATTCTGGAACAGTTTGGGTCCTGGTTAGACTCAGGCTCTGGGGGGCTGTTCCGTGCCAGCATGGCTGCTCATTGCTTCACACTATGGACGACCCGTCTGCCCCTCAGGCCTCCCCACGGGCCCACATCCACTCAGAGTATGGCGTCTCCTGGCCTCTCCTCGTGTCCTCTGGACTGTGAGGAGGACGCCTATTGGAGACTGGGTTCTGATACCTCTAAAGAGCTGACTTCTGCTCCCTTCTCTTGGCTGGACGCCGCCCCGACGCGCTCTCTGTCTGCCCTTGCCCGCTGTCCTCGCCCCTGTGTGCCTTCAGGCTTTGTTTGGCAGCAGTGGAGACAGGTGCTCTCGCTGCTCTCCTTCCACCCTGGGAGTTCTGTCCATGGCCCAGAGGTCAGCGCTGCCCTCTGTGGAAGGACCCATCTGTGTTCACACACGTGCACACAGGCCTTCGGGCAGCTTCCGTGTGACGGAGCCGTGTTGGTCTTCCCCATCCCCTCAGGGTGGAGTCTCTGGAAGCCCTGCCCACACTGAGCCGGAACCCCAGCCGGAGCACAGACCGGGACTGGGAGACAGCATCTGCAGCATCGTCCCTGGCCTCGGTGGCTGAGTATACAGGTAACGCCTGGCGCTGGGCCGTGGAAAGGTGGTTTTCCAGTATACCGGCTCCTCACTGTGGAATGTCTCATGGTTCCACATTTCGCATTGACAGCACAAGTAGACAATCTGCCAGCTTGGTGTTTTACTCATTAACTCAGACCTGCGTGTGGCCCCAGGAATGTTGAGGTGTGAGCGGGGAGTAATGCTGCCTGTGATGGTTAGGGAGTTCTGTGCCTGCTTGGCTGGGCCATGACCTGATGAGGCAGTTATGGGGTCTGAATCGGTCATCCTACATTTTCATGTATCTTTGGAACATGAGCTTGTCCTTAAGGGTGGGCTGGGTCCGAAATGTTTCAGCCCACCCAGCTCGGAGGCTCATCAACACTACAGTATTCTGCACGAATCGGTGTATGTTTTGTTGGTGTGTATGCTCAACCACCACAAGAAAACTTGTGTGTTCTTCAAATAGGTTTAAGTTTATGTGACAATAAGAACAGAGACGTGTTCTACCTACGGCAGCATGGCAGGGAACTGTTAGATGCAGCCCCGTCATTCAGAGAAGGCACTTTGTGGACAGCTAGTTTTTCAGAAATGGTATAGCTTAGAAAGTTCTCAAAAACAGTGAGAGAAAAAGTAAAGAAAGCTGACATAGTTGGTTGGAGGAGGGCTGTTTTTCACTCTGGTGGTTGAAGTGGGTGTGATGTGTAGCTCTAGCACTTTCTTCAATATAAGGGGGACACTGTCCAGCTCCAAACTCCCCCAGAAAGCTACCTGCTCCTGCCCTGCGGCCTCTCCGTGAAGTGTCTGCAGGGGGCAGGGGCAGGGGCAGACGGGCCGTCCTCACCTGGCACAGGTGTGCTGGGCATGGCAGGGTGTGTGTGTGTCTCTGTGCGTACACACAGTAATATGTCCAGAGCACTTCTAAGCCTTAGACAAATGTTTAAGATATGTTGTTTCTTGGATCTGCCCATGTTTATATCCAAGAAATGGAAAACAGCCCGGGGATTATTCGCTGACTCCCTTGGTCCCTTTTTTATGTAGAACTTATCACTCAGAATTCTTTCTGGTGTGTCGGAGAAGCTGTTTCTCTCACACCTCTCTGCTTCCCATTCAGCCAGCAGCCCAGCAGCCCAGAGCACACTTGGGTCTGATCTAATTTGTACTCTTGTCCCGGCCTGTACAGGTCCCAAGCTCTTCAAGGAGCCCAGCAGCAAGTCTAACAAGCCAATCATTCACAACGCGATATCTCACTGCTGCCTGGCAGGGAAAGTGAATGAGCCACACAAGAACTCCATCTTAGAGGTAAGTGCCGCCTCCAGCCCTGCGGCTGGGCTGGGCTGTGTGTGCAAAAGGGCTTCTCTACGTGTGGTTGACGTGCTCGGCCACTAGGTGGGGCTGCTGGCTCTTTTTCTCAGTGACTGGGTCACGGGGCACAGGAGGGAGGGCTGAGACCCCCAGGGATGCGGGGGCAGGTCCCCCACTGAAGGCTGATGTGTCCTAGATGGGGGGCTGAGGTCATAGACCCCTTGGGGTGGCAGCTGTACAGTAAGTTGGTGGTCTGAAGTGGAGAGCACACTCACACCGATGCAGCCTGTAAGGTGGGCAGTTGAGACCCACCAGCTGCTCCTCGGAAACCCTATACAGGGTCGCTGTGAGTTGGAACCGACTTGATGGCACTAAACAACAGCAGTTCCTGTATGGGGTCCTGATATGGAACTAGGGGATAAGTACTGGCCCGCTACCCACAAGGTTGGCAATTCAAACCTATCAGCTGCTCCTCAGAAACCCTGTACAACATCGCTGCAAGTGGGAACAGACTCCACGGCATTTCACAAAGTTACCACCAACTTTCTTTTCATTCTTAAACACGATTTTTATCTAGATGAAATTAGCATTCTATGTACAGTTTTGGGTCCTTCTTTTTTCATCTTTTAAGCTACTGGTGATGTATTTAAAATAATAAACTCATGTTAATGTGAGTAGTACATGTTTATAAAAATCCATTTTCTAAAAAAGGTGAGAAAAACGGCATCGTGTTATATTTTTACAAACATCCTTCCTTTCTGGCTTACAGCAGACACTACACAGCTGTGTGTGTTGTTGTTGATGATGATTGTGTGCTGTGGAGTTGGTCCTGACTCCAACCTTGCATAGGAATTCCAAGAGTCTAAATCTTTACGGGAGCAGAAAGCCTCATCTTTGTCCCACGGAACGGCTGGCAGATCCATCTACGTCCTGCTCTGGTGAGTGGCGTCTGGGATCTTCAGTTGGTCTCTCCGGATGCAGAAGAAACAAGAACAATCAGAATGGAAAACACGTGGAATCAAGTAGCCCAGTAGACTCCTGGGACATGTGAACACCAGTCTCCATGACTGAGATGGTGCCCGCCTACCACCCCCAGTTGCTCTGAAAGGGATCACATTAGAAGGTCCCAGATTGAGAGGGAGACAGTGTAAAATAAAACTCAAAATTATTTCAAAAAAGACTGGACTGACTTGGTCAGAATGAGATGGAAGGAATCTGAAACCACGGCCCTCAACCCACCCTTCAGGTCTGGAAAGAAACTCACCCTGGGGCTCAATTTTTAATCAGCAGTACACAGACAGACAGACAGACAGATAGGGGACATCAGCTCTAGTCAGGTGTACTCACCATGGAATGAATGGTCAACCATTCAGAATCAAAGGGGCGACCTGCACCTAAGGACAAAGTTGAGAAGGGAAGGGACGGTGGGATTTAAACAGGCCCCACAGGGAGGAAGCGGGAAACGGGTGTTGCAGTCATTGATGAAACCAAGTGTAGGGTTGGTTGACTGTAAAACTCATGAGCTTGTCCGGAAACCGTTTTTTATTGTGTCTCAATCAATTCACAATAAAAAACCAAACAACTATATCAGACAAGAATCAAATACGCAATATATATGTAAAATTTTGACAACCAAATGACAGATAACCCAATCACAAAATGGACCGAGGTCTTGAATAGACATTTCAGTGAAGAGGACAGTCACATGGCCCCCAGACATACGGAAAGATGCTCATGACAGCCATCTGAGATCTGCCAATCAAAGCCACCGTGGGACACGATTTCATTCTCACCAGGCCGGCTAAGATGAACACAACAGACAATGACAAATGTTGGACCAGATGTGGGGCAGTTGGTGGTGGGGATGAAAAATAGTGCAGCAGTTGAGAACAGGGCCAATTCTTCAAGCCCGAAACCAGAGCCACCAGGGAACTGAGTGCTTCCCCCGGGCAGGGGCTCTGAGAGCTGAGAGCAGACACTCAGACTAGTCACACAGTCGTCAGGTGGAAACAGCCTAAATGCCCATCAACAGAGGAAGGAACGGTGTGGTCCACACATACAGTGGACTACCTACCACTCAGCCAACAGGAGAAGTGAAGTCTTGAAACTTCCTACAGTGTGGATGGAGCTGGAAGACAACATGCCGGGTGAAATCCGTCGGTCACAAAAGGACAGATATGATCTTGTATAGAAAGTCTGTTGTTATTAAGTGCCATCAAGTCAATTCTGACCCATAGTGACCCTGTATAGGGTTTCCAAGGAGCAGCTGGTGAGCTTGAACCACTGACCTTGCAGTTCAAATGGCTTTGCAGTCTGATGTGTTAGCCCACAGCGTCACACCAGGACTCCATAGAGTCTAGACTAGGCAGAGGTCCAGATTCCTGCATCTCAGCAGTATTCACGATAGCAAAATGATGGAAGCAGCCTGGCTGGCTGTCAGTGGACGAGTGGGTAAAGTGGCGCACACACAGTGGAATGTACGTAACGTTACAAAGAATGGCAAATCTATGAAACACCTCAGAACACGGGTGAACCTGGAGGACGTTACGCTGAGTGAAATCAGTTAGTCACAAAGGAGACTGCTATTAGGGAAAGTCAAGAAAAGGTTTCATACCAAAAAAAACATTCTTTGATAATTACCAGGGGTGGCAGGGGGAGCAAGAGCAAATTACTAACTGGAGGGTGGTGGTGAAGTGCCATTGACACATAGTGACCCTAGACACATGGGCACTTGGGTGAAGGGGAAAGCAAAAGAAAAGTAAGATGGCTGTTTTAGATGGTATTTCATCTACAACTCAGAATGAAGAGAAACAGCTGCAAACATCCATGAATGACTGGAACAGGGAAGGTATGAAGTCTGACTCAAGGAATATTGGAAGTTGTCAAAAATGGAATGGAATGCATAAACATCCATGTTCTAGGCACTGGTGAGCAGAAATGGACCGGTGCTGACTAGTCAGAATCTGACAGGGCCCATGGTTTACTATGCCAGACATGACAAATTGAAGAGGAACGGCATCACATTCATCATCAAAAAGGATTTTTCAAGATTTATCATAAAGTGTAATGCTGTCTGTGATAGGATAAAATCCATATGCCTGCCTACAAGGAAGACTAGTTAATAATATAATTCAAATTTACGCACCAATCCATAAAGCCAGTGATGATGAAATTGAAGAACTCTATCAACTTTTCCAGTTTGACATTGATCAGACATGCCATTAAGATGTATTGGTAATTACTGATGATTGGAATGCAAAAGTTGGAAACACAGTAGCTGGAAATTTCGTGATGGAGTTTGGTGATGGAAATGAGGCTATAGATCACATGATAGACTTTTGCAACAATAAGGATTTCTTCAACTTCCTCATGGCAAAGATCTTCCTTAGACAGCATAAGAGACAACGATACACGTGGACCTCAACAGATGGGGTACACAGAAGTCAAATTGACTGCGTCTGTGGAAAGAGACGGTGGAAAAGCTCCATATCATCAGCCAAAACAAGGCCAAGGGAAGACTGGAACAGACCATCAGTAGTTCATATAAAAATTCAGGCTGATGTTGAAAAAAAATGAAAACAAGTCCACAAGAGCCAAGATATAACCTTGGACATATCCACCACCTGAAATTTGAGATCATCTGAAGAACAGATTTGATGCACTAGATACTAATGACCAAAACCCAAAAGATTTGTGGGATGATGTCAAGAACATTGTACCGGAAGAAAGCAAAAGGTCATTAAGAAGACAAGGAATAAAGAAAAGACCAAAATGGATGTCAGAGGAGACTCTGAAACTTGCTCTTCAGTGTAGAGATGCTAAAGCAAAGGAAAGAAATGAGGAGGTAAAGGAGCTGAACAGAAAATCTCAAAGGGCAGCTCGAGAAGACAAAGTCAAGTATTATAATGAAATGTGCAAAGACCGGGAATTAGAAAACCAAAAGGGAAGAACATGCTCAGCATTTCTCAAGCGGAAAGAACTGAAGGTAAAATTCAGGCCTCTACATGCAATACTGAAGGCTTATTTGAGATAAATATTAAATGATACAGAAAGGATTGAAAGAGGATGGAAGAAATACACAGAGTCACTACACCAAAAAAAAAGGAAAATGTTCAACCATTTCAAGAGGTGGCATATGATCAAGAGCCAGTGGTCCTGAAGGGAGAAGTCTACAAATGCACTGAAGGTATTTTCAAAGAACAAGGCTTCGGGAATTGATGGACGAGAAACTGAAATATGTGAACAAACTGATGTACATTAGAGACACTCACTCATCTATGCCAAGAAATGTGGAAGACAGGTACCTGGCCACCTGACTGGAAAAGAGCCATGTTTGTGTTCATTCCAAGGAGAGGCGATCCAATGGAATGTGGAAATCATTGGACAGATCAGGAAAGGTGTGTGCCAGGGTTGTATTCTTTCACCATACTTATTCAACCTGTATGCTGAGCAAATAATCTGAGAAGCTGGGTTCTATGAAGAAAAACATGGCATCAAAATTGGAGGAACACTCATTAACAACCTGAGATACTCAGATGATACAACCTTATTTTCTGAAAGCGAAGAGAACTTAAAATACTTACTGATGAAGATTCAAGACTACAGACTTTGGTATGGGTTGCACCTCAACATAAAAATCCTCACCACTTTAGCAATAAATAACATCATGATAAAGGGAAAAAAGATTGAAATTGTCAAAGACTTCATTTTGCCTGGATCCACCACCAGCACTCACGGAAGCAGCAGTCAAGAGATCAGTGACGTATGATTGCATTAGGCAAATCTGCTGCACAAGACCTCTTTAAAGAGTTGAAGAGCAAAGACGTCAGCTTGACGACTCGGATGTGCCTGACCCAAGCCATGGTGTTTCAGTATCCTCGTATGCCTGTGCAAGTTGCACAGTGGACATGGAAGACTGCGGAAGAATTGATGCGTGTGAGTTACGGCATTGGAGAAGAACATTACAAGTACTGTGGACGGTCAGAAGAACAAGTCTGTCGGCCAGAGTACAACCAAAATGCCCCTTAAAAGCAACAATGGTGACACTTGAGTTCTCGTACTTTGGGCACCTTACCAGGAGGGGCCAGTCCCTGGAGAAGGACATTATGCTTCAATGGAGGATCTGCGAAAAAGACGCCCCCAATGTGATGGATTGACACAGTGGCAGTGATGGTATCATGGCCTCAAACCCTGCAGCTGTGAGCCGGGTGCAGGACAGGTAGCATTGCACAGTGTTGCACACAGCGTTGCTGTTAGTTGGCACTGACTTGACCGCACTTAACAACAACAACAACCATTATTGCATATTTGTATACAAGGGTCTATAGAAGAATCTCGATCAAAAGGTGGAAAGTGTAAGATAAGACAGCATTCCAAATTCTTGTGAAGCCTTGACTTCCTGGAAGTATTGTCCTAAGATATCTTTGTGTTAAAACTGAAGTCCGAAGTGTTCCCTCAAGTTTCTAGGGGGTTAAAGTGACAACAGCAGCTTGGAAGGTGAGACAGCCGTGTGGGGCCGGTGAGGACCAACTCGGGAAAGTAGGGGGTGGGGAGCGCCGCACCCATGGAAGAGGGTCATCCGTGCACTGAAGTAGACACGTAGCGATTTGGGCTCTCTATTTGGGACATAGGTAAAGTCCCGAACATTAGGTAGCAGACAGCGTGACAGGCGCCGCTGTTTGTCCTGTTTGCTTCAGCGTCTACTCTCATGGTAACCGTTTTCTTGAGCTGTTATTCACCCTGCAGCAAGCTCACCCCCTGACAATACAGGGAGAGGTCTCCAGTGACCCCCACACCACACAGCCGTCACCACCCTCGAGTTTCCGGTGCTCCTTCTCTCTCCCAACACCCACAGCCACAGCAGTGTCTGCTTTCGGGGCGGTTGATGTAAGGGAACCATGGCATCTTTCTCCCTCTGTCTGGTCTCTCCCTCAGCAGACTGTGTTTGGGTTCACCATGGGTTGCTCGTCCATTCACCTGTTGGAGAACACGTGGACTGTCCCCACATTTTGGAGACTCTTCTCACTCATCTGAGGGTCAGTCAGCAGTTGACTCATGGTTGAGTTTGTTCCACATAGAAGGGTGTAAACATGGTGACCAGTGGGTGACTGAAGACAGGTTCTTTCCGGAATACACTTGTTTGAGTCTTCTTAGGGTGCCTTCAGAAAAAAGAATATTTTTTGTGTCATGGGGGGAAAAAAATTTTGAGGTCAGGGCTAATATCAAATTTTCTACAGAACTCAAGTGGACATGTTTCCAAATCATTGAAGCTCTGCAGCAAGTTTATGGGAATGCTGTCCTCCATAAAACAGATTTTTGGTGGATCAAGTCTTGAAGGAAGGTCGGGAAGAACTCACAGATGAGCCAAGGGAGGAAGACTGCCAACCTTGATGACGGAGGAGACTGGGGCTGATGGCTGAAACTGGCAGAAGAAGACTGCAGAACCCCACAGCACTTGCAGTGCCAGTGGCCATCTTGGCCTCAGCAAGCTCTCAGCTCGGGGCCGAAAAGTGAGGCTTCATGGCCTCAAAGAGCTCATCTTTCCAGTCTTTTTAACAAGATCGAAGCTAATGAAGATGATTTTATGGAGCAGATTGTAACCGGGACAAGTCTTGGATTTACCAATAGGAACCAGAGAGCAAGATCCAATCAGAACAGTGGTTTCTGAAGGGATCTGCTGGGCCATTTACTTTCCAGGCAAAGAAGTTGGCTCAGAAGGCTATGGCATTTTGTAGAGAAAATCTTGGTAGATTTTCTCTGGAGATACAGGATGAGCGTAGGAGTTGATTATGGCGAAGTTTTAAGAACATTAGAAATTGCCTTGGTGAGAAGAAGGTCTGGAAAGCTGTGCTGAGGAATCTTCATTTGCTCATAACAGTTCAGCTGCTCGTTCTTGGAGGGTAGCCAGGGCTGCCCTGTGAGGACGTGGTCACGTCATCCACTCAACAGCCCTGATCTTACTCCCAGACTTCCCTTTATTCCCTAAACTTAGAGAAACATGATTGGAGCCCCCGAGGGTGTCAAAATTGCCGTTTATGCTGAAATCTTTAGGGAAGAAGGTTAGCGACATGAGACCTTCAGAAGTGTGTAGACTGTGGAGAAACAAGGCGTTCATGCTTTGACAGTTGTGTTTTAATAAAGGCTTCTGTAGTTTTTGTAGCCATACTTTTTGGCTTACCCTCACATAAACTTATGTGAGGACACACTTTGATTTATCTTGAATTTCTAGCCGGAAGCACTGCATTTATCAGTGGACGGTGGTCACCGGTGTGGCTGGCCTAGCCGTCTTCCCACTAGCAGTGCCTGAGACACCTGTTCTCCACACCCTCCCCCTTTGATTCCAGCTTCAGGGCGCTCAGGTATGGGTTTCTCACAGGCTGGAGAGCTGGAGAGGTCAGTCCCGGAGGTCAGCAGTGGGCTGTTGTGCTGTCTGAAGCAGGAAAACAGCTTCTTTCCGGTGGGCGCCACTGGAATTTTATTGATTTCTTTTCCGTTTCTCCCTCCATCCAGGAGTTAGAAAAGTGTGACGCCAACCACTACATCATTCTCTTCCGGGACGCGGGCTGTCAGTTCCGGGCCCTCTACTGCTACTACCCGGAGACTGAGGAGATCTACAAGTTGACCGGCACGGGGCCAAAGAGCGTCACCAAGAAGATGGTCGACAAGCTGTACAAGTACAGCTCGGACCGAAAACAGTTTAACCTGATTCCAGCCAAGACCATGTCTGTTAGCGTGGACGCGCTGACCATCCACAACCACCTGTGGCAGCCGAAGCGGCCCGCAGTGCCAAAGAAGACGCAGACACGTAAATGACAGCGGCCGGCGGCCCGAGGCGGGCGCCTCAGCGTCACTATTTATTATTTCATCCCCGTGGGTACGAAGTGTGCAGTCAGGAACCTGTCCCAAGAGGCTTCTCGAGCACCCCAGGGAGCTCCTCCCTCGGCTCCTCAGCCTCGCGCAGGATGGCTGGCCTCTTTTTACTTGAAGTTCTTCCCCAGAATAAGTGAAAGAGATTGGATTTGCTCTGCTTGCCTCTCACCTCGCCCCCTTTTGCACATCCCTGACACTCCCCACGTTGGCAGGCGCGCTGCTGGGCTCGTGCTGAGTGGTGATCTTGGGTCAGGGGTTTGGACGTCTGGAGAAACGGGACTGGGGAAACCTTTTCATTGGAGAAATGGAATGATATTTATTGGTTGTGTCTACTGCCAACGTTTATATCCAGTTTCTGAACAAAGATCCTTGTTTGCTGCTCAGAAGACGTTTACTGAAAAGACCAGTTCACTAAAGCACTGAGATCCATCCGCAAGGCCGCCTTCTGTGCAGTGATGTCCGCGAGAGACTGGCCTCGGCCCCGCAATCATGAGGAGGGTCAAAGGTACAGGGAGCCGGCGCTCGTCCGACTCTGAAGTGCTGTGATGGACAATGCACTAGCGGTTTGCCCCTCGAATAAAGACAACTTTTGGTAAATTAGCATATTTTTCACTATGAGCACGCTCCTCCCAAACAATGACGCACTGCGGATGGCGGCTCTTAGCGTTTCTGGCTTCATGCCCTGTGGTGGGCTTCCTGTGTCCTGCCCTGTCCCAGGTTGGGAAGCGCAGACCGGAGACAAGTTTTGTTTGGTAACGTATTTAAAAACAATTAAAAGTGGTTATTTGCAGTTATGTGAGAGCTACAAGTAAGTGGCTTTGGAGTCTTTCATGTGGGGTATGTTGGGGCGAACGGTCCAAGGCTGATGCTTCAGAGCAGACACGGTGAGTCGTGTTCTCTGTCCACTCCAAGGCCCGTGGAGCCGCGGTGACGCTCCTGGGACTCAGCCACTGTGCCATCCTGAGCTGACCCGACTGCCGGGAGGTTCGCATTGCATATAGTTTCTTGGAAACGTTCTTGAACCTCTCTGGCACGGCAGGAAAACCTAGCGCGCTCTGGAGAGCGGGTACAGACCAGCCATCAGTGTTCCCTGGAGGAGAAAGCACGGTACGTGATGCTCCACCCTCCGCGGGGCGCGCATTCCACACGGACCGCCATGCTGTCTGGGCGCGCGCTGTCCGGAGCCAGGGTGCTGGCTCTGAGACGTCCGGGGGGACCCTGCCCCAGGGTCTCCGGGGTGCACATCATGTCTCCTGTCTGTTTCAGGCCATGTTCCCTATTTATTTTAAGGAAGCACTAAAATGTAATAAAGTAACTAGTTTGCTTTCTACTAATCGTGTGCAGCTGTGGCAACTCATTTTGCCCATCCAAGTGACACCCACCTCCTGGCTCTAACGGTGCTCCCGCCAGGCATCGGAAGTGGCGGAAGCTCGCTGATGATCTAGCCCCGGCCTTGTGGACACAAGTGGGCGGAGCTTTAGTGGTGATTCCCAGGCGCTCCTGACACAGGAGAAAATGAAATGCGGTCGGTCGGTATTCACAGCGTGTGACGACCGGTGTGCTGTGTGTCCCTGACCGTGGCGTCTGCGCGTCGCTGCTGGGCGCATGAAGCTCCCCCACCCCCCAGCTTCTCTGTGCGCTGGCCCGAGAGTCTCGGCTGCTATGACAAAGCTCAGATGCACAGGATCCCTTTTGGGGAATGGGTGATGAGTAAAGTACCATCGATGCTCCGCTTTGGAGTCAAGCTATCGCTCTGTTTTATACATCGCGCATTTTCCAGAGCGCCGACAGTATCTTTGCTACGTGGAGTTTATTATGACGGAAGCCAGTCTGTTCATTCTGTCTGCCCGCCGCAGATTGACCCTGTAAACAGGGAAGTCTGGCCCACTGACCCCAAAGGGCCTCACGTGAGTCCCATGGTTAAAAAAACTGGTGCGGATGCACACATTACACCGAGTCTCGCGCGCGTGACAAGGCAGCTCTGCTTGTAAGCGACTGCACGTCCCTGCAGGGTCAAGCCCCAATGACGTTCTCCACTTGGTTGAAAAGTGGAAAAGGCAAAAGTGAAGACTAGTTGTTATTGGGGAGGGGGAAGTATTTGTGGGAAGTACATTTTTTCACTAAAAATCAATTTGGATAACCGCTTACAACTGATGCCGAAGCGGTTTCCCAGTACTTGCTCGTCAGCGACTTTGGCACGTTTTGTGTGTGGGCAGTGAGGGCAGCGGGCTGCCGTGTTGTGCTCTCGTGGGCAGTTGTAGCGTTGTCTCCACACGGCCTCAGGGTCCTGGTGTCCCAGGTACTTTGAGCTGCACCCTTGCTAGTTGCTGCAGTCTCTCTCTCAGGACATGACCTGTGGCCATTGTATCAGGTGTCAGTGGGCCCAAGTCCCTGTCCTGTTGTGGTTCCTCCCTTCCTCTGTCTTGGGGAAATCTGCACCCACTGTCATGGGGCCCAGTCTGAGACGGAGCTGCCCCTCTATAGGACAGAACGATTTCCTAGGGTTTCTGAAAGGAAATCTTTATGGGAAGAGTCTCCTGTTTCTCTCTTAGAGCAGTTGGTGGGTTTGGCACCCTGTCTGCCCACTACCCCCGACCACCCCGAGACACCATGGCTCCTTTGGGGATCAGCAGTCGTCTACAAAGCTGCAGACATGTGAGCTGGTGCTCTCCGGCGCAGGCCCCTTAGGTTTTCTGAATTATCCCAGTAATAGATGAGGGTGGAGTTTGCTAAAGTCACTATTATGACGGATCCAAGAAACACAGTAAAATATTATCAGTCGGAGGCCCAGAGGCAGGCCCGGGCACGTGGCAGGGCGGTGATCTGTGTTAGGGGAAACATTTCTTGTCAGGGAGCGGTTCTGGTTGTCACTGCTGCAAGGGGGCTGCCCCTAGATTAACTCCATCCTCCCCCCGGAGCTCCTCCTTGGGTCTGTGGTTTCATTTTGAACTCTCAGATCTGGAGGTCTGGGGCCCAGGGACATGGTGTTTCTTCAGAGCCTGGGCGGCAGCCCTCCTATAAAAGAACAGAGGGTCCCAAGACACCCAACAGCTGGCCTGTAGGTCCGAGCCAAGCCCTCGCCCCAGGCGGCGCCTTTCCAGGAGGTGGCGAGCCCACTTACTGTGTGTGCCCCAGAACTCCCCCTTCATTGCCCCACACTGTCGGAAAGAGCAGGCAGGCTTACAGCTGACTGCTGACCTGGATGGGGACCCTGCGCCGTAGCCACGGTCACGGGCGTGAGCGCACCTCACACAGCCTAGAAAATGCGCTGGCTTTTGAGTTGTGTGTGAGTTGCACATGCGTTGAGGAGACACGCCACTCTAGGCCCCCAGTCCTTAGCCACCCCCTGGTCTTCCCAGGGAGGCCGAGGACTGGGTACCACTCTCTCTCAAACTCGAATCCTTACATCCCTTCGGATAAAAAGACTTACCGTCCGAAGCCGCGGCTTTTGAAAAATGGTTCCACTGTTTCATTTACATGGACTGCCTGTGTCGGAGGCATGTGAGCATGTCTGTCCTATTCCTACTGCTGTATCCAGGGCAGCTCCGGAACAGTGACCGTGGTTTTGTCTCTTAGTGGACGGTGTTCTGAACAGAGAGCTGATCGCTAGAGTTAGCAGGCAGGGTTGAAGAAAAAGCGATGAAAGATTTAGAACAATAGATGACTCTGGGCCTGATTTACATTTAAAGTTGTGTATTACTGTGTCACCTGAGAAATCAAACGCCGCAGTGGCTTTTGTACATTTGAGAGTTCTTCAAGTTTTCAAGACATCCCTGAATGTGTCTAAACATCTTGGGATACCTAGATTTAAATTTTATTTTTAAAATAAGTTTGTTTTGTTGTTGTGTTGAAAATGTACACAGCAAAGCATGTACCAACTCAGCAATTTCTCCATGTGTGATTGGGTAGCATTAATGACGTCTTTCAAATTTTACGTCATTCCTTGCCGTCTCTTCTGAGCTGGTCCTCCACCATTAACAGTACTGACTGTCTCTTTGTTGTTAATTCCATCCCGTTTTGTTAGGACCTTCAAGTCCGACTCAGCAACCCTGTAGACGGTTTCCAAGGAGTGCCTGGTGAATTTGAACCACCAACCTTGCAGTTCAAACCGACCTTTTGGTCCAGTGCTTTCCCCACTAGTTTGTTTGTTTTTAAATCACAGTGCTTCAGGCAGGAAGTTTTACTTAATTCAGCCAAATTATGGTTTGATTTAAAGACGACTCCAGGGAACATTTTTAGTTTAAGATTTAAGGTTTAAAGATTATCTCTCGGGTCCATCCAGCCTCCATGACTCCAGAAAGTCTGGATTCCATGAAAATTTGAAATTCTGTTCTGCGTTTTTCGTTTTGATCAAGATTCTGCTCTAGAATTTTTCTAAACCTAAACATTGATAAGAGATCAATTCAGAAGGTATTAGTATAAAATCAGAGAAGCCTTGTTAAACAAAGCACCAAAGTGAGTGAGAGACGGCCCTTTCCTGAGAGATCCTCCACCTAGGTCTCCACCCTTCTGAAGGCGGTGTTTCCATCGCCCTAAGCCCCGCCCCCGGAGAACTCATGTCAGAGGTCAAAGTGGCAGTGCCTATGCCCTCAAGGGACTCAAATCATGTTCCTTTCCAAATGTTCTTTGGGTTAGGGGAAACAAAAGGAAGTTTGAAGGGGGCAAAATCAGACTTCTAGGGTGGATGGGATAAGGCTTCCCAATGCAATTCTCCTAGGACTGCGCTTGCTACCCTCAATGAGTGAGCCAGTGCATCGTCGTGACAGGTAAGATTCCTCTCTGCAGCTTTCCTGGCCTTTTTTTCCAGCCTCTTCAGACTTCAGAGTAAAGCCTCATGATCTTCTGTGTCCTTTGAGAAAACCTATTAAGGTGTTGCCTTTGGCATCCCCAAAATCAGTCACTGTAACCTTCTGAGCTGACCTCTCTGCCTTGAATTTAACTGG